GCGCTCAAAAATAATCTTTCTGGTTTCCTGATCATGCCACTGAAAATTGCATTTTTAACAGGCTGTATATCTTGGCTGCGAGGTGACAGAAAACGGAAGAATGAAGAACGTGGCCTCAGGCTTTGAGTATGTCAGGATTGTTTGTTATACGTTAAAAGCGGGCAACGGTTATTGTAGGAACATTAGTTAAACTAAAAGCGACATTTCTTTCCCAGTCCATTACGTTTCTTGAACTTGTAATTGCGGCATTAACGTTCCCTGAGGTTTCTAACAAAAAATCTCTCAGACAAAAGTCATCAGTCTTTGTAGTATGAGAGACGATCCGGAAGTGCTAAGACGTAAGCAAAATTCAAATCAACTGCAGAGAGTAAATCCTGACCTTACTTGACAGCTGCCTTCATGGTTTCTACAATCGACACGAACTCGTAGTAATCTGCACAATAATAAGTAATAATTACACTGTATGTCCACGTTTAAACGAATATCATCGATAGGAAATTTAAACAGCGGTATCCGTTTGCACCTGCTAAGTTTGTTTGGTGACCGGAAATCTTCTTGGTATGTAGTTCAGTGACCGTCTAAACGGAAATTATCCCTGAATGTTATTTTTGTTTAACTGATGATTCTTGCCCGCTGCGTTTGGTTCATCATCAAGTTACAGGTACGATTAGGATTGAATATATTTTTTTTCTCGGATTCTGAACAGTAATAAGATTAAACAAGGTGCGTAAATTTCTGGTCAAATGCGTGCTGTTTCAACCACGTGATTGGGGGTGATGGACTTTTAAAATGATATGGACTTTTAAATATGATACGCCCACTACGTGGGCGTTTGTGTTTAGACAAAATATTTTTTAAAATGTCTATGACGCTGACGTGACGCTGACGTCACGTGAAAAAAATACAAACGACTGCACTGTTTTGTCTTCGTCGGCAAGAATGCAAAAGTTGGGTTCATAATACATTTTTCAGGCTACTCGCTACGGGAAAAAGACAAGACACGAAGCTAGTGGTTTAGATTGATTATGGCCAACGAGAACGGAAAAACCCAGTGTTTGATTGCGGATGGCCTTTTTTGTGTGCATTTTTGAGACAACCGCCATCTCGAGATATGGGAAGCTCAGTATTTTAACCAAACAATAATATGTAAATTTTGGTTGATCTTCAAATGGAACAGTACTTTTCCGGAAGGTTCGTTTGGAAACTGTCAACCATGACAACTATCCACAGAGGTGTTGCTCTTTTTCGCTTGTTTTTCGTTCTAAACTGAACGTTGGAAAAGTCTTTACCATTTGGACGGTTCAGTTGCAGTCTTTCATCAACGAAAAACATACGGTACGGCATACTCTGGATAGGAACAACCTTTATCACAGAGCGCGACCGATAAAAATAGAGTACGGACAATTTTTAACGCATCACGCTACATGGCCTGCGTATTTCACGCGGAAAATTCCGCGCGAAACAAAGGACTGAATGTTTTCTCTAGTCAGGCTAACTGAATTACTAGTTAGATGAATGCTGTCACCTTATTTGATGGGTTAAACAGAAAAAAAATAAACTCCACTGTTCGCGTTAGGCATAATTTACGCAGGAAACGTTTCAGAAAATTCACCTGAAAAATTTGCTTAGTTAGCGTAAAGAAAAGGTCATGAGATGCTAATATGTCATTAATTAAGATGCGCGGTGACATCACCCGCTCGAGCTCAAAGTCCAGTACAGTAGCGTAGCGCAGCGTAATTGACCAAAAGCCCAAACTGTTCCAGCTTATGCGCTTATTAGTCACGAGTCAGACTTCGCTAACAGACATAAAATGAAACTAGAGCTGGTAAGAAGTAAACGTGATGCAAATCAGTGCAGTGTCGACAAAACATGGATGAATCAAGAAATACGTTTGTTATGTATGCCTGAACTAAAAGTTTGATGTGTTTGAATTTTCTTTTATTTACTAAAACTTACTTACTAAATTTTTCGGGAACTGAATTTTCTATAGTAGAAAAAAAAGTCAAACCGTAGAATTCTGGCAAATGGTGTTCGACAACTAATCCACAAGGTTTTAAAGTTCCTCCAGTTTAATGAGGTAATGACCCTTGTGAAAGATATTTTTATTGAGACGAAAATATCCCAGGACGCGGACGTCTAAAGAAGACTCACCATCGAAAGGAACGTGACACGACATTTTCCTTTCTTGTTTGTAGAAGTCAAAAATTAGATTTCATGCAGGAAGTTAAACAAGTACTAAGATAACCTGGCTTAGTAGGATCTCGAAAATACTACTGGCAAAGAATCGATCAGAATAGCTTATGTACGGAGTGTTATACCCTCTGGGGGTGAGTTCACCGTTAAATTAAAGCTATATATATAAGTCAAAACAGAAATAAAGAATTTCGTATCAAGATAGTTACCCTGAAAAAAGGTAAACTTAACTGACCCCTGAAAATCCTGAGAAAAAAATCGCATGAACTGGAATCGAGATGCATTTCTGTTATATATATAAACCAAGGAGCATATCTGAACGCGGTTTCGTACACGGCAGATCCCATAATTAGTCACCCAGTCGTATGTATTCTTTTTCGAACATGAAACTTACATTAACACTAAATTTACAGAATTAAGTGCCTACCCTGTTGAGCTTCAAAACACGGCAGGAAATCTGTCTTATGACTCGGTAACTGAACGGGTACCTATGTGAAATAGGACAGAATTCCGCGTCAGCATTATTTACCTACGCTTTGCAGTCACCTGTAGGTGATGATAATAATAGATATCGAAGGCACGTTGCACACTTACATGTCTTTGTAATCTATCAAACACTCCCGCTTGCACGTGATTGGTTAGCCTGAAATGTCCGTCATCTCACGCCCTCAGCCTAACGTCCCTAGTCCCCCGGCCGTGGGCGAGAGATTAGGTTGAGGGCGAGAGATGATGACGGACAGTTCAAGCTAGTGATTGGTCTAAACGCGTCACGTAAATGGATATCCGAGTGATGTTCCCCGGTTTTCAAATCTCGCGTGTTGCGAAAAACATTTGAAGGATAATAA